TGCTCTGGTTTCTCCTCAGATCGCATTTTTGGGGGAGGGCTTATTTTAATGACGGGTCATTAAAATAAGCCCTCCCCCGAAAATAAGCCCTCTGCCCTTTTCTTTCCCCCAAAAGATAATAAGACAGTGTCTTATTATCGGAGAAACACGGGTATGTGTGTGTGTGTGTGTGTGTATAGTGTGTGTTTGCGGACACATGCGCACGCACATGCACACTCCACGGGAGCATTTCTTGGGCATGAATCTAATGAATACAGCCATACTGGTGCCACTAGTGATGTCCAGTTATATACAACAGACATCACAGGGAAGGCAGATGGGAGAAGATCCAATTCCCAAATGGCACAAATTTCATATGGAATGTTTATTTTAACAAAACAGATTATTCTACTCCAGACACTTCCTAACTTAATTACCAGCTTAATAACATCAAATTTTGTTAATACACAGACCACTCTTCACATTTTAGTCACATGTCCAGCCTGCTTCAATTTTTATGAGCCCAAACAATACATTTTAACCAGCCTGAAATATGTTTCTATTTCTTCTTGGTACTATCGTTTCACTTAATACAACTACAGATGCATCTAACAGAAACAGTCAACATTCCAGGCATTCCATGCATATGGACATGTATTGTGCACATACCTGCTACTGCATGTGAATCTTCATTTTAAAAACCTACAGCTGCTTGTCCGGTGACATGGGCACCACAATAAAAAGCAGTGGTTCTCAACCGTGGGTCCCCATATGTTCCTGGACTAAAACTTCCAGAAGCTTTCATCACTAGTGCTGCTGGTCAGGATTTCTGGGATTTGTAGTCCAAGAACACCTGGGGACCCAAGGTCAGGAACCACTGGTCTAAAGGAGACCCTGTTGTCTTGATGCACATTATGAAACCTTCCACACAGTTGTTCAGATTCTGAGCAAGATATCCACAATCTACAGAATCAAAATTTAACCAATTTAGTTCCTCCACTGCATCTAGCATGAACTACAAGCTTCAAAATATTTCAGGTGATAATGAGATTTCAATGTTAATTAAAATGAGATCTCAGTTTTAATCCACTATGGCTAAAATTCAGTTGTGTAGCTCCGAACTGTTAATGAATAAAGGATTCCTTTGACAATTTGAGGGTGCACATGACTTTGTTATATTGTATACAAGTCACACGCACCCAAAATAGCCTTTAATCAGCAGCTATTTGCTTTTAATCATCATTCCCCCTGCACATCTGGAGCTACACAACAAGACTTTAGCCTATACATGACTAATTTAAATAACTGAGAAGAACAAATTTCTTACATTGTTGTTAAGTACCATTAAGTCACTTCTGACTAATAGGCACTTCAAGATATGTGATAATCTTCCAGAAATACTTTTTCATTGCAAACCCTTAGGCAGTTTTCATGGCTGAGCAGGAATTTGAACACAGATCTCCTGAGCCCCAGTCCAACACTTTGGGACTGCACTATATTAGCTCTCACACAACCTACAACAGGTACTGGCTCACACATCAATATTTACTTTCACTTAGGAAAATATTTTAAAAATCTACCAAGTCAATATCAATTGTGAAAAGATCATTAAATACAATTCGTAAGGATTTCAATAATGGTGTCTTAGCAGTAGGGAGCAGAAGCAATGAGTTACAAATAAACTGAGCTGTAACTAACAGCAGTTTTGGGTAATGATCCAACAAAGTTCCCTTTTAACAGTATATGCATAGGAATGTTTGGAGCAACAAGTTAACATTTCTTGTCAACTTTCAAAGTTACATTTAAAGGGTATGTATCTTAAATGCATTCTGACTGGATTCTCCCCCACTCAATTTTATACCATTGCCTTACTATTCCTAAGGAGACTGCTGACCAAAATGGAAGCCAGGAGAAGAAAAAGAACAAATACATAAGTTAAAAGACATTGGGGAAAACTCTTGTTGACTTTGTACTCAGTGTAAACCAAATTGGGCACTGGAAATATTTAATTTATACTAATTAAAAGCCACCTATTACCCCCTTTTAGGCTTGGTTCCCCCTTTTTACTGAGGAATCACCTGGGAGCACTAGGGCACAGTGGGGGCAGGAAGAGACCTTTAAAGGTCAAAAATCACTACCTGATCACTGTTGCTAGGATTAGGGGCGTCTGCAGCAAATTTCAACTTTTAAACTACACTTCCCTGGTCCCAAGGCTTCACCAGGGAAAAATGGGAGACCTAAAGAGCCTCAAAACAGACAACAGGAAACTCTTAATTCATGTAAATTATATATTTCCAGCATCCAATCTAGATTATACCAGGTACGAAGTTATGCAACAAGATTTTGACCCACTAGCACAAAATGTTTATTACTGCTTATCATGGAGCAGATGAGAATAATTAGAATCTGCTAGAAAAAAACTATAAATTTAAAAGTAAAAGCTTCTT